ATATTTTTTTTTTTTTTTTTAAAAATATATGTATATCATAAGTGTTGTAAAATTAGACAAATTGTGATTTAGTTTTATTTTCTATATGAAAAAAAAATAGAAAAAATATATATAAATTTGAAATATTTAAATATGTAAATATAAAATATTGACATTGTATTGATAATAATATTTTATCTTAATCTATATTTTAATTAGTATCTATATAGCTTGAATTGAGTAATTTGTGTAAATTCTATAATTTGTTTAAAAATGTTTAAAATGTTTAGCAAATATATTTTTATTCTCTTTTGAATAATTTTGTATTATTTTTGTGTAAAGTCTTTGTTTCATTACCAATGCTTGTTATGACATTACTGCCTTCTATACTTATTACTTTATAGGGACCTGTATATGGGCTTGTGCCTTTTCGTGTTCTGTGAGTTTTTATTAATATTTCGTCACCTACATTTAAATTTATTGGCGAACTATTTTTCTTTGAAATTTCTTTTCTCCTAGCTTTTGCACTTATGCTAAACTCTCTTGCTCTATCGAGGGATAATCTTAGCCTTGCCTTTAATTCGTTGGCATAATTTTCTAAGTTAAATATTCCCTGATTGCTATGTATTTGTTCATTTGGTAATGATGGTAACTTACCAAATACTAATTCATGTGGGGAGTAGCCTGTGTCAACGTGTGGGGCAGTATTATAGGCAAAAGTATAATATGGTAACCATTCGTCCCAGTCATCGTCGTTAGCAAAGTTGAGTAGATATTCGTTTAGAACTCTATGGTTCCTTTCTATTGTACCTACCGTTTCATGGTGGTACGGAGTAGAGAAAATTTGTTTAATATTCATAATTTCTGTAACTTTAGTCAGCAATTCGTTTAAAAATTCTGTTCCTCTATCTGATTTTAAGATTTTAAAGGAGCCGAATTTTAGTACGAGTTGTTCTACTAAGGTTTTAGCTATTGTTTTGGCCTCTTTATTTACTATTGGATATGCAATTATGAATCGACTTAATTCACATTGCATAGTTAATATGTACCTGTATCCATTGGATGGTCTTAAAGGTCCAACAGTATCGATTTGTACTGTTTCAAAGGCAGTATGCGGTGTCGATGTTATTTGGAATTCCTCACGGTTGTGTCGTATTTGTTTATTGCGTTGGCATTTTTCACAGGTGCTAATATATTTATGAACCATCTGTTTCATTTTTTTCCATGTATATTTTTGTTTTAATTTTGTAAAAGTTTTGCGAACTCCTAGATGTCCGCTATGAGGATTGTCGTGATATTCCTCTATTAATCTGTATTTCTTCATGATGTCCGTAATGTTTTCTGGTTTCTTGTATAACAATATATTTAGTTTATATCGACTTTCATTTTTCTTCTCTCGTTGCAACTTATTAATCATTTCTTTAAATTTAGTTTTATCCATGGATTTAATTATTATGTCATCATCGCTTAGCGCTAGCATTGTTATATTCAATTCTTCTAGTTTCGAAATTAGCTTCACCATGATCGAAATCGGCTTCGGAGGTATTTCGCATAATTCCACTGTGACTTTTTTTGTCATCATAACGTATGAATGCATCCTTATTCTTATTTACAATTTTAAACTGCAGTGTTCTCATACCTCGAATATCACTAATAGAAGTACAATCCCAACAATAGAGTTGATCAGGCTCAGCTGGTTTTGTCTCTTTTTGTGTATTCTTATTGGTAGTTTTATTGGCAGCGGTACCTGTGGTAGCTGCAGCGCGCGTTTTACTTCTAGTCGTTATACATATTTGCGATATTTCTTTAACATTACTTATTGTTTCTCCATCTTCGTCTGGATTTTTCAATTTCCGACTGGACATCTTGTTTTCATTAGTAGGTATCAACTTTTTTAAAATATTACTGTCTATTTTTATTCTAGACAGGGCATCAGCATTAGTATTAATTTTTCCCTTTTTGTAGATTATTTTAAAGTCATAATCTGATAAATCGATTCGAATCCTCGTCATTTTTGACGAAGGATTCTTGTGCACGAATAATGAAATCAAGGGTCTGTGGTCAGTTACAACATAAAAATGTTTGCCATATATGTATGGTCTGAAGTAGTTTATTGCCCAATGTATCGCAAGTAGTTCCTTTTCAATAACTGGCTTGTTCTTGCTTTCCTGTAAAAACGGGTAGGAGTTTTTCTACACTTTCTATTACAGAGTCATACGACGCCATTGCTATTTGTGTGCCGTTGTTATTTTGATTACCACTTGTTATGTGGTTATTTATGGTTATAGCGTCAGGTGTCTGTTCAGTTGATGTCATATTCAAGAGATATTTTCTTGTCTGAGTATATTTTTCTAAAAAAACTAGAGCTAAAAATTCCTCAAAATTTTTGGTTACATATGTTGCTTCTATAAGCCTTTTAAGGTCATCTAACCTATTTAGTTTAATGGCTATCGTGGGCTTAGTATATCCTCTGATACTAGCCTTTTTTGCGTTTTTAAGAATATTCTGAACTTCCCCTATATATGTAGCAAAGTTTTCCATAAATCAAAATTAGTAACGAGATCGGACAAGAAAGCAAAATTCAACACAAATCAAATTCAACAAATTCAATAGAAAAAATTTTTTATACATTTTTTTTTTTTTGTATATTTTGTATGAGATATAATTCATAGATATAATTCATTATCTTTTTGTAAAAATTTTTTTTTGAATGTATGATATTATAGTTATGTCATAATTATGTAAATGTAACAATAAGAAAAAAAAATATATATAATAATAATATTATAATTTGTCTAAATATAATAACATGCTAGTGTTTAAACGTTATTGGAATTTAATGCCGTGTGTACACGTTTATGTACATATTTTTTTATGTACTTATTTATTTTATATGCAACGAATAAAATAATAAATACTATAAATAAAGTTATAATTACTACCTCTATATTTCCGGTGCTTGTAGCTGCATTGTTTTGTAGATTGTTGTTGGTCACCTCTGTCTTTTGTTGGACGTTGTTCTTCGTGTTGTATTCATCGCTGGAGAACCATCCCATCGTTGAGTCGTTGATGATGAAATTTGCTGTATTTTTAAATTGAGAAGTTTTCTTCTTGAATTAGATGAATATTTTGTTGTTACTGATGAAGATATCTCCAAGTTATATGCCAAGAAATTGAATCCAAAAAAACTGTTGTTGTTGTCTATGCACATACGTGTCTATTAATGTTTATGAGTTTTTTATTTTTGTTTTGTATAAACGCGCACTGAATTAAAAAGTTGGTTAACATAGTTTATAAGATCCTTATGTTTATTTTGGTGTTTTAATAACAAACTTTTTGACTTATAGGTTTGTCCACACACAAAACAGTTAAATTTGCACATTTTTAAAGTTAAATTATTTTACTTGCACTTATCGTTCAATAAATTGTAATTAGTTTATATTTTATAATTTATATTTGTTTTACATTTTTACCACACAATTAATTTTGTATTTTCACAGTTGCATTTTATTGTTACGACACTTATATAATTACTTGCACTTTTCATTCTATAAATTGTTCATATTTTATGAATAATATTTTCTTTTACAATTTAGTCCTTCCGATTTAGCATAAATTGTTCATTTTTTTATTAATAATAGTTTCGCTTTAACATTTAGTGCTTCCGATTTAGCATAAATTGTTCATTTTTTTATTAATAATATTTCGCTTTAACATTTAGTCCTTCCGATTTAGCATAAATTGTTCATTTTTTTATTAATAATATTTTCGCTTTAACATTTAGTCCTTCCGATTTAGCATAAATTGTTCATTTTTTTATTAATAATATTTTCGCTTTAACATTTAGTCCTTCCGATTTAGCAGGATCGCCATGTAATTAGTTTATCGTTTCCTCATATTGTATTACTTTAAAATCAAAGACTTGTCGTTTTGAGTGTTCTTAAGAGACTGATTTTATTAAATTTTTATTCTTAACTCTAACATAATTTCTTACAACTAATTTCCAATAGAATCTTATGTATCGATTCTATTGGTTGATACTTAAATTTACTTACGTCTAATTGGTTAACCCAAATTAGACGTATATAATGTTTTTATAAAAATAGCTTATCTATATTTATTATTTAAATGGTCTTCTATTTCACAGTGGCACACATCTGGTAACCAACTGTATTGAGGGCAAATCATATTGCATGCATTATCGCTTGCAATATGATCTGTGAAACACTTAACACAAATTCATGTGTTGAGCATGCCACTATCCAAACTGTCAAATGCATATTGGAACAATTAAATATGCATACAAATATTTTGTCATAAAGAAATGACAAAATAGACGAGTCAAATTTCTGACTCATAAATTATTTTATATTTGACAATTAGGGTTTTTCGGTCATGCTTGATATTTGAGAATTTTGGGTTGGCGTGACACATTAAATACCGCACACAACGTATTGTGTGTGGTCATGGTTAATATGCCACTACACTATGTTAAAAAAAAATTACGTATATTATGTTTGGGTCATATCATGACCCCATCTTAGTTTCATTAAAGAAAAGCCATATACATTCATATTTTATGATTATACATATTATTTTTTAATTAAAAAAGGAAATAGCCTATTAAAGCTTTTTATTGCTTGTGATCGATGCAAAAAGTTGTTGTGATCGTTTTTGTTTCACGATGTGTAGGACAAACGAACTTATGACATACATTACACTTCGTATGGGTTTTCTTCTCCTGTTTAGAAGGGCATAGCTGACATCGTTTTCTTTCACTAGAACGTAATATTTTTGGCGGTGGTTCTAAGGACATAGATGGTGTCTCATATTCATGTTGAACATTACGAACTAAAGCGGCAGAGGCTTCAGACCTAGGCATATGATTGCGCTGTAAAATACACGGTTGAACTAGACTTTCTCCCAATTCTTGCAAAAAAATCCGACGTTTACATAATTTTCTGCTTTGCCAATTTGGATTGATCTCTGTCCACAATATAAATGCATTTAGAGCGGAAATATCAATTAGATTAGAAAACAAAGCGACTGGCCAACGGTTTGTTTTACGTTTACATGAGTACGTGCGGACCATTTGGTCCATGGTGTCAACTCCACCTTTAGATAAGTTATAATATTTTATTACCTCCGGTATTTTTTTTGAATGTTCTTCTAAAATTTTTCCGTTATGATGCAACGTACTCAGTAAAGTAACTATTTTATATCTCTTCGGCACATATTGTACGATTGTCTCTTTTTCATGAAAGAAAAACTTGCTAGTATAGATGGGTAGTTTTCGTAACTCTTTTACTGTGCAGTGAACCGGTAAAAATCTTTTATTCTTTCGAACAGTGCCAACTAAAGTAATTTTTCGCTTTAGTAATTCCTGTGCCAAATTATGACTCGTAAAAAAATTATCGGTTGTTACATTTCTACCAGTATATTGTGACACTAGGTCTAAAACTACTCGTTCACCTTGATTTCTTTCAGGCAAATCTGAAGTTTTTCCAAGGTATATTTGAAATTGTAGACAAAACGCAGTTGCAGAATCAGCTGCTATCCATGCCTTCATTCCATATTTACCTGGTTTACTGGGCATATAAACTTTAAATGGGCATCTACCACGAAACGGAATAAGTTGTTCGTCAACGGTAATATTTTCATTGGGAACGTAAAGTACTTGTAAATTTTTAGTCCACTTTTCATAAAAACTACGAATTGGTGCCAGCTTGTGTCCGCGGACTTGTGATCTTCGGGCTTGTCTATTATCAAATGCAAGGACACGAGAAATAATTGTAAAACGTTCCAAGGTCATAACAGCTCTTAACAATGGACGGCCATGATTTTCATTCCACAAGCAACTAATGCTTTCACCATACGAACGATAAACACCTGCAAATATAATAATTCGATGACTCGGTACAGGGTATACGAATATGCAGAACACCAACCAATAAGCATCAGTAAACCTAAATATGCATCAAATTCTATTTCGTCCATACAGTGAAAATTTTCATATACAGCATTGCCTTGCATATTACTGTAACGAATTATTTCTTTCTTCATGGTTGTAGTTATGCATAAGTCAAACGAGTCTCTTATTTCGGAGATTCGTTGAACAGCATATGCTGTTACACCTGTCCTTTCATGTATCACATTTTCATTTGTGGCTCGAAGTAATTCTCTTCCATTTGGTGGTATGGTGGTCCACTTTATATTACCATCTTTACAAAAGTAATTATTTTGTTCAAGAGGAATCTCTATTTCTTTACTCAGCTCTACATCTGTATCCATGTCATCCTCTGATATGTTCCGTTGAAGTAGCTCTGGCTCAAAGTCTGGATCACCATCATCACTTGCTTCGTCGTCAAAATCACTCAAAAAAGCGACAATTTCATCATCCTTCAGCGTCTTAAAAATAAAGCACAAAAATTATAGATTCTTGATAAACAGACTATAATTACATGTAAACTTACTTCCATTCCGATCGACATAATTTATTGTAATTTATTAGGTTTATATGAAATTAACTTGCGAACACTTTATCAAAATACCGTTTTGACATGAAAGTTACATTAGTTAATTTTATGAAATAATATTAAAATTTATACACTGAGGCGAAAAAGTTTTAGAAAATATGCAAAACTTAAAAAATTATTACAATTTAAAGTAATTTTGGGTCATGAAATGACCCGAACATAGTATGAGGGTTAAGTAAGTTTTTGAGTTTATTCCAACGTTCATTGGAATGTTTGAGTCTATTGTTTGAGATTATATTGAAATGTCTTAAAGGTATTATTTCTAAATCCGATTTTGAAAATTATTCAATGATTTTTTCTTTATTAGAAATATTTAAGATTCTTATATGTTTTATTCCATGTTGTGGAATTATTGTATTTGCGATAAATACATCTTTTATTATTTCTTTATTACAAATAATACTATCTTCTGGAATTTCTATTTTAATCGAATGAATTATCTCTGATCTAGGTGGTATTGTGATTCTAAAGATTCTGTTTAATATCGGTAAAATGTATTCGGTTTTATTCGTGTTTATTGAAAAAGTATACGTTTCGTAATCAATTTTTGAAAAACATTTATTGAAAAACTCACGTCCTAAAATACCATCAGTAGGAATTGGAAATTCGTCATCTACTACTTGAAATTTATGCTTTAAGTAATCGTTCAATATTTTGAAATCTAAATTTGTAGTACCTAATGTTGTGATTGGACTGTCAGTTATTCCCGTGAGTTTACATAATTGTTCCCATCTGCGCCAGTATCTAACAAGAATTTTAATTTTTTATTTAAAGTCTGTAGTATAATATAATTGGGTATTGATTCTCCATTATCATTTTTTATCCCCGCGTAGCCTATTCTATAGTTTCTCTGTTGGTACCGGGGTTGTACTCGTTTCCCTGTTCCCTGTTCATGACACGTATCCTATTATTTCTTGTGCCTGTTTCTCTATTATTCTGTTGTCTGCCATTATTTGACCATTGGTGGTTATTAAATCGTTGGTAATTATTCGATCGCTGATAATTATTCGATCGTTGTTGTCCAAATTGTTGGTGATTGTTATTTTGGGGTTGATTAGTTCTAAATGAACTGGTTTGTTGATTATTTCCATTTCTTTGATTCCTGTTCTGGTTGCTTCTATAATTGTTTCTATTCTGGTTAGACCGTTGATTATTTTGCCATCTTGTGTTTTGATTATGTGAACGGTAGTGCATCATACTGTGTTGTTGTGGATTATCGATGCTTGATGCTAATTTAACTGCGTCAATTAATTTTGTTGGTTGAGCTGCAATTACCACGAATCTAAATGGTTCTGATAAGCCATTTTTAAAAGTGTTCAATCCAGTTTCATCATTTATGGATAATATAAGCGCTCTGCTCTGTTCTCCTCGTTCAGTTATCTGTATATCATTTAGAGTTGCTATCAGGGATTCTATTTTGGAAGCATGTGAGTTTATGCTCATATTACCTTGGTATAATCTTGAAAGTTCTCCTTGAATATGTGCTGTATTTTTCTTTGGTTTATATGCGTCATGTAATATTTGTTTCAACGCTATAAGTGTAGATGGGTTTACAACAGTTAAAATTCTGTTTTTAACTTTCTCAGTTATTCGGGTTGCTAGAACAAATTTAATCAAGGATTCTCTATCGACTCCTTCTTTAAGGGTGTCATGATAAAATTCTATCATGCCAAGAAAAGTAGATAGTGATTGTTGTTCACCACTGAATTGGGGTATTATTTTTGAAGCTGTCGAAATATCAAAACTAGCCATGTCTGCTTTTTGTTTGAGATATTTTTCTATATTATTTTTCAAGTTGTTGAATGCTTGTTTGTACGCTTCTAAGTCAGACTCTTTTATTAGAGGTAAATATTTTAACCAGATATTTTCTAATTCTTCCTTTGTTTTTTCTATAAATTCCCTAGAATATAACCTATTGGGGTTTTTCTTAAGTTTCTCTAATATCTGTTTAGCTTCAGTGAATTCCATATATATTTTTATTTAAAAATTTTTTTTTTTTTCTATTTGAAATATATTTTCTTATTTCTATGCCTTTCTAGTCCTATCATTAAACACAATATAATTAGACTTACAATTATTATAGTCATTACTAAAAATGTTATATATATATTATTTTTTTTTTTAAAAGTATAGATACATCGGTTCTAGTGTACATCAAAAAAAAAAATTTTTTTTTTTTAAAGAGTTTTAATTAATTTGTTTACATAGTTAATCAATTTAATATGTTTTTTGTCTAAATGTCTGTTTAATCTACTACTTGTTTGGTAACTTTTACCACAAATAAAACAATTAATGTCATTCATATTTTTAATTTTTTAAACATATATATTTAAAAAAAAAAATGTTGTATATTTAAACCATATTGTTGTTTAAGATAACATGTCTTTTAACATATTTCTTATAATGGTTGTTTATTTTTGATAATACTAAAAATAATAATAGAATACAAATGAAATACAATATTGTTTTTGTATCAGCTACTTCGCTGCCGTTGTTGCTATTGTTGTTGTTGTTGTTGTTGGTTATCACCTCTTCCTTCGTGGGTTGGCTGCCCATTCCTTGTTTCTCTTATTTTTCTCTTTATTAACAGCTGGTCTTCTGAAGATGTGGCAAGATTCAATTCTCTATAAAGGACTTGCTATTTGTTTTCGTTTATTGTACTGTTTTCCACCCATTTTTCTTTTTGGTTTAGTTGGTGTCTTTGGAACTGGAGTTACTCGTGGCTTCTGCTGCCTCGCTTTATACTGTTCGATTGTCAATGGTTTAGGTCCGGCTGCTTTGTCTACTGGAACATACTTCGGAGCCTCAACAGGTAAACCGTCTATCCTTTGAGGGATGTATTCCTCAATGTCATCGAATATATTTAGGAATGTTTCCCAGATTTGGGAGATATTTCTGGATTCTTCACGTAGAGACATACAAAATTGATTTATTTAAGAAAATTTAAATTGTAAAATTAAATGTTGAGAATTTAACTCCTAATCTTCCCTTTGGTATTTTAGGCTTTGACTTCGATTAGATTCGAGTGGTCAGGATCGCCATGTAATAATTAAAATTTGTTTTCATATACAAATTTAATTATTTATATATATATATATATTATATATTTATCAGATTCATTTCAAGTTTATAATTTTTCTTCTTTTTAATTAGCAGGAAGAAATCTGCACATTATTAGGCATCCAAGAATGCCGAGACAAAAAAATAATTTTAAAAGCGAGATTTAATGTAAGCTGCTAGAGCTCAGTTTAAAATCTGAATTTTATTACAATTTTCCAATCTATTTATACAAAAATGTTTTGCAATGCTTTACAATGATTTACAAATATTTTCCTGATAATTTTAATTGCGGCGGCACTAAAAAGGTTGACCCACGTCAATGCTTAGAAAATATTATGACACATTCAAGTGTGTCATATCGACAAGTGCAGAATAGTAGCACAGAAAAGAAAAGTGTCAAATAGCAATTGCATACTTGCTATGACCAAATATTCTACTTGCATTGCGGTGGCTCTTCCGTGTGCGATCGCATTACATATTACATTAGTTAATATAAAATAATTTGTGCATAAGCACTTTCAAAACATAATTTATTGTTTGTTTACATTGTTGCGCTATACACAACACTTATTTATATGTTTATTTAATTTTTTACTTGTTTGGTAACTTTTACCACAGACAAAAGAATTGAAATTATTCATAATTATAAAAATTTTAATTTTTAATCATCTAAAATACTTAAAAAAAAAATACAAAATATAATATTATAAATATAGATATAAGAAATATAAATTGTTGATTCTTCTTATTCCTGCGCAGGTTCTTTATTTCCAGCTTGATCTCCTTCTTTTCTGCAACTGTTGTCGCCAGGTTGTACCTCTCGTACAGTTGAGCAATTTGCTTTCGTTGGTGAAATGCTTTTCCTCATCGCCTGTTTGGCTTCTTTTGTGGTTGTGGATTGACAGGTGTGGTAGGCCTTTTTCTTGCCTCTTGCCGCCTTTTGTACTTTTCTATGGTAATTGCTATTGGGCCGGCTGATCGTGGTGTTGGTACATACGTCGGATATATTTTTTCGCGTTGCACCACTTGTTCTGGAACGTACTCTTCTGGTGTTGTATTTGTTGCTTGAAGTATTAGTTCATATTTACGGAAAATTGCGTGGAAAGTCGCTTCATCTATCATATCGTTTGTGTAGATTCTAAAGTTTAATCAATTTAATTGGTATTATTTATGGTTGGTCCGCTTGGCATTGATTCCTGGCAGGATCGCCATGTAATGTTTAACTTCTTGGTTGTAGGCAGAATTGCCATGTAATGAGTTAGCTGTTACAGGTAACGTGTGTTTTTGAGAATGATAATAGAGAAAGATAGTCCTGCCTAGATAAGCATGCATCCAAGTCCTACTGATGCAATCAGGATATAAAGCGCCTTGTTACCGCTGGTACCTAGGCCAGTGATACGTGGCCAGAAGAGTGCGAGAATAAGTCAACAACGCATAGGTTTGCAGTCATAAGTATACTCTGATTTTATTGAACAATAATTTGGGTATTTATACAATTTTCTAGTTTGTAGCGATCTCGTGTACTATATCTTTCATTAAACTCTTTGCCTTCTGTTGGATTTCCGAATTCAAAACTCCGTTTCCGTAGAATTTTGTCCTCCAAAGAGCATATTTCCACATCTCCTGCGTTTCCACTACATTCGGCGGAATTGTCGCCATATCGAAAGTCTTGCAATCCATCATATAACTGGGTGTATTCCTTACCGGCAACTTGAACGTAGATGGCTTCCCGTCCACCTTCAAAGTGATAGTTGACGATAGATTCAATATCGGAGTGGCTGAGTCCTTTGATTGGAATAATGTTAGGATTTCTTCGTCTAACATTGAGGAATTTAAAGCACCTACATGTTCTGTTTGAGAACGGGCATTCGTGCACGAAGTGG